TTGTGTATTCTCATTTGAAAGTTCCCTTCTCCTGACCAAAAAGATAGACTGATTGGGATAGTTGTGGCCATGTCAGCTTGGCAGATTATGTTCTGAAATAATGAGCTTTTGAATTGCCAGTGAAACTTTGCTTTTTGTTTATTCAGGTTAATTCTCAACTCATCAGCAATGTCTGCACTGATGCTCTCTCTGCAGAGAAGGTAATGAGTCCAATGTATCTTGCTTTTCTACGATATATTTTTGTGTGTGTATGAATACAGAAAAGTAAGCTTTTAATTTTCATTAATTTTATTTTCAAGTACCTTTCTGAATGAGTTTTCTTTTCCAGTATTATTATTTCATCCGTCTTATGGGACGCAAGGCGTCACATGTTGCTTTGGAATGCACCCTCCAATCCCATCCAAACATGGTATGTATTATTATCTTGCTACATTTATGGCTAATTGTGCTATTTATCCAATGTGACAAACAATTCTTTTTATATGCTTTCTGCAGGTAGTTCTTGGTGAGGAGGTGGCTGCATCTAAGCTGACCCTTTCTGAAATTACAAAACAAATTTCTGATGCAGTTCAGGCTAGAGCAGAGCAAGGTTTGAGTTATCTGAAATTCTGAAATACCTCTCTTGAGCCTCAATGATTCTTTTTGAGATCTGGTATCATATTCCTATGTTCTTTTTTTTAAGAGAAATACCATGGAGTAATCCTCCTTCCTGAAGGGCTGATTGAGAGTATTCCTGAAGTGTATGCTCTCTTAAAGGTAAGCTTCCTTCCTCAATAGTCAGGCCCCACCTAAACACAAGGCATTTAGAACTCTTGTCAATCAAATATTCATGCATATGTATCTGTCTATAAGCCATTGTAGACTGTTGAAGCTTCAGAAAATGACAGTTTCCTTTTTGACATTGATGTTAGCTGTTAACCTTACAATGGATACAACTTTAATCTGTTCTTTCCAATACTTCTTTGTACCTCAGGAAATTCATACTTTACTCAGACAAGGTGTTGCTTCTGACAAGATATCTTCTCAGCTTTCACCATGGGCATCTGCTTTATTTGAATTTATGCCACCTTTTATCAGGAAACAGGTAAACTCATCTATCATGTTGAAAATTGGCCTTGTGTCGATTCATCTCTGAATAGTATATGACAAAGAAAAGTCTGTCTGGTTTTTTCAATGCTGCAGCTGCTTCTTTACCCTGAATCTGATGACTCAGCACAATTATCTCAGGTAATGATCATCATCATGTGTTCGTTTGAATGGCTAGAAATTCAAAGCCTTTATTCATGTCTTTGTTCTTCTTCTTTCTTTGTAATGACATGCAGATTGAGACTGAGAAACTACTGGCATACCTTGTGGAAGCAGAGATAAACAAGCGTCTGGTATATATTCACTGGATCTCTATTCCATTCTGTCTGCTTTGCTTCTTTTACTTGATTCTCCACCATTATCATTGCATTTCTACCGATTTTTATGCATCATATATTTGTTGTGTCCTTTGCAAGGCATAGTATTACTGATCTGGGATAGCCAAGCTGTCATTCTTGTGCTCCTTCACAAGCTACTGCTAATTTTTCTACATTTTCTCTTGTGCTTTGTGAGAAACAAACATTTTATGTGGCAAAAATGAATTACACTTCTGCAATAGATTAGTACTGAATTGAAATCATCATGAAGGATCAAGGATGTGTCAGTTATGAATGATGTAATCTTGAATCACACCTCATGTATAGCATGCAATCCGGTTTGATTTCAATTTTTGTGTGTGTCAAAAGCACAATGGAGTTGGCATTGATTGCTTTTAGTAACTTGAAGGTCAATTGGCCACCTATTCTCGTGGATTGGTAAAGATATTTCTTTCTTCCTTTGACAGAAAGAAGGCACATACAAGGGAAAGAAATTCAATGCCATTTGCCATTTTTTCGGTTATCAAGCTCGTGGATCTCTGCCATCAAAGTTTGATTGTGATTATGCATATGTATGTTGATCCAGTTACCTTTCATTAGCCCCTATAATTGCTATATTCTGTAAGTGTTACTCTCATAACTCATTTGTTAATAACTATTTGATGTTATTGTAGGTTCTTGGACACATCTGCTACCATATTCTAGCTGCAGGTTTAAATGGATACATGGCAACTGTGACTAACCTGAAGAATCCTGTGAACAAGTGGCGATGTGGGGCAGCTCCTATTGCAGTATGTGTTTGTTCTTTTCATATTTTTCTTGTATTCCCTATTTAATGGTTAGTCATGATGGTTATGTATTATATGTCAATTTTTTCCACGTTAGAGAATATTGATGTATTTTGTCTGTTTGTGATGAACTTTAGGCTATGATGACTGTGAAGCGCTGGTCTCCGAATCCTGGTGCCACGTCAATTGGAAAACCTGCTATCCATCCAGCTACTGTGGACTTGAGAGGCAAAGCATACGAGTAAGACTTTTTGTCATGTTGTATGATGTGTATGTACCTGTATATGGAATAAAAGATTTAATTAAATATTTTAAGATGCAACTCCTCTTGGTCAATTATGTTAATACACTTGATTTTATAATTCTCTGATGCACAATCTTGGCTGCAGGATGTTGAGACAAAATGCAGCAAGCTTTCTTATGGATGATATTTATAGAAATCCAGGTCCACTTCAGTTTGATGGTCCTGGTGCAGATGCGAAGCCAATAACTCTTTCTGTAGAAGACCAGGACTACATGGGCCGCATTAAAAAACTTCAGGAGTACCTTGAACAGGTCTTGACAATCAACTCTTATAACTTTTAACAATCCTTGATTCTTTAAGACGTTAATGTTTCAAGTTGAAAATTTCAAACTAATTGATATGGTAAGTGAAGTATGACTGGTCATCCGAGTATGTGTTCGGAGTGAGTGAGTTTTTATATTTATGTTTTCAGTTCTTATAAACTTGGTAGATTTTGATTTATGTTTCTAATTAAATTTTATTCCTTTTTAGTTCCTATAATTAACAAAAGTAGTGTGTTTAGTCCCTCACCAGGGACTAAAATCAAAAGTATTTAACATAAGCGCATGATTTTTGTATTTTGTAGGGGTAGAAGACAGCTAAAATTTAATTCGGAACCAAAATCAAAATTTGTTAATTTGATAAGAACTAAGAATATGTTTAATCCTTTATTTTTTAATCAAAATCAAAAGTATTTAACATAAGCGCATCAATTTTTTTATTGTGTATAAAACTTCGATTCTCATGGAGTTTTTCTTCTTTTTGCTTCAGGTTCGAACCATTGTAAAGCCAGGATGCCCTCAAGAGGTTTTGAAAGCAGCTCTGAGTGTGATGGGATCTGTTACCGAAGTTCTAGCTGCAATGTCATCATCTTCAAGCAACGCCCTATCAGCCCTTTGAGAGTAACATATGGAAGTTGTATTCTTTTCAAAATTTTCTGGTGCAACATTTTAGCTTTTTGCATTCTATAGCCATGAAGTAGTTGATTGGTAATAAGTGTTAGGTCTGACATGGAGCATGTCAACGTGAGATTTTACTGTAATCAAAGTTTTGACTCTATATGTTCTTAACTGGGTGAGTTTCGTTTTCTAAAGACAGCGGTTCCATGTGGCATTGTTTGATAATTTAGCTTTGTGCTTCAGACATTGGAAAAATGGTTTGCACTTTTGAATGGAATTAGACCGTTAATAGTTGGGTAAAAAATTGCTTATCCACAAGCATAATATATTAATATTAGAAGTACGTTTAAGTTAATAAGAAAAATGGTTTGCACTTTTGGCTTTTAGTTATGATAAAGTAGTATATGGAAGGATATGAATAATAAGAAAATTGGAAATACATAATCAAATCAGCCTAATTCAATTTTCTTATTTTAGTGTTGAAAACTGAAAAAGAGCTTTTTTTAGAATACTTCAACTATAAACCAAAAATGTATCAGGAGAGAGTCTATAAAAAAATTGGAGATGATTGTAAGTTTTTAGTTTTGATTTTAAAATATAAAATTTATATATATATAAAAAACACATTCAATTAAAATTGACTTAAATAAAATATTTTTTTAAACTTATTTTTAACATAATTTTAGTGCATTTTTTTTATCAATCAATTATTTATTTACTCATTTCACATTCAGGAGTGATCTAGGGCAATGCATGAAGATTCAAATCTTCCATCTATTCTTCTAGGCTACCAATAAGTCCTTTTTTTGAATTGGGTTAACACTTTGTATACATTTAATACACGAGATTACATGCTCGAGCAGGAAAATTCTTCTCAAATGGAGTATAGTCAATTGCTCGAGTTTGACAACAGAAACCTTGGTATTACAGAGAAGAAGCACACGTGTTTCTGAATATTTATATCATTTAATAAATTTTTATATAACATAAGATCATTAAATTATTTTATATTATTTTTTTATTATGCATATTAATTTTTATGTAATTTAAATATTTGCAAATACATTATACAAAATTTAATATTTATTTTAACAAAATATGACACGTTGAAATAAAAGCAATGAAATAAAATATTTATTATTTTTTAATAAAATTTTATAAAAATAATATACTTAATAACAACCTTTAAAATAATGATTTGTTTGACTAATATAGTATGTATTTGTATTTTTAACTTATATATAAATAAAATCAATTGATACAAAGTATTGAACTTAAATATTTATTTAACAATAAATTTTCTTAAAATATAAAATTAATTAATTCAACTCACTTAAAATTTAACATAATTTAAATATTTATAGACATGTTATTTAAAAGTTGATATTTACTTATATTTTATTTTACTAATCAAATAAAATAATAAGATGGAGTATTTAATAATTTTTATTTTTTTTATAAAATTTCATAAAATTAATATACTAATAAGTATATAAGTTGGATACAGGATTATTCGGATCTGCATCTGTCTATGTATATTATATAATAAATAAATTTATTTAAAAAAAAATTATTGTTTTTCTTTACTTGGCGGCGGTAGAGAGCTTGTTAACGTAGAGCTAATGAATTGTGGGTCGTTGGACCCCAAATTATTCATGCACTTGATCTTCGCTTTCATCAAACTGGTCTTCGTTGTGTATGGTGGATTATCATTTCTAAGTCACTGAGGGCACACATTGAAGTTGAAAGCCATGTATCTGAAAGATGGGTGTTCCTTACTATTGAAAGTGCGTAAGCCTTCGATCCCCTTGGTGCTCAACACACCCCCAATTCCCAATTCCCACTTCCCACCCTCTCCCATCCATGAATCCCACGTTGCAAAATCGTTGAAACACGAGCCAGATGTTGCGTTGGCATTGCAGCACTTCAAGTACTTGGCCAATTCTAAAGCTTTCAAACACACCCAGCTCACATACCACATCATGATTCAGAAGCTTGGAAGAAACTCTCACATTGATGAGGTTCAGTACCTTTTGCAGCAGATGAAGCTTGAAGCTGTACCTTGCTCTGAGGACTTGTTCATATGTGTCATTAATTCGTATAAACGTGCAGGGTTGAGTGATCAAGCTTTGAAGATGTTTTATAGGATAAGGGAGTTTGGGTGCAAGCCCACAGTGAAGATTTATAACCACCTTTTGGATGCTTTGCTTGGTGAAAATAGGTTTAACATGATTGGTCCTGTGTATAACAACATGAAGGGTGAAGGTTTGGAGCCTAATGTGTTTACTTATAATATGCTTCTCAAGGCTTTGTGTAAGAATGGGAAACTTGATGGTGCTTGCAAGCTGCTTGTGGAAATGTCTAACAAGGGCTGTGCACCGGATGCGGTGAGCTACACCACTGTGGTGTCTTCTATGTGTAGGTTTGGTCATGTGGGTAAGGCAAAGGAGCTAGCTTTGAGGTTTGAGCCTTTGGTGTCTGTTTATAATGCTTTGATTTTTGGGGTGTGCAAGGAGAAGAGAGTTGAGGAGGCCTTTAATTTGATGAGGGAGATGGCGGAGAAGGATGTTGACCCCAATGTTGTTAGTTACTCCACTGTCATTAGTTGTCTTTCTGATATGGGAAATGTTGAGTTGTCTCTTGCGGTTTTTGGCCAAATGATTAGGAGAGGGTGTGGCCCCAATGCTCATACGTTTTGTTCCTTGATCAAAGGCTATTTCTTGGGAGGGAGACTGGGTGATGCGCTTGCCCTGTGGAATCTTATGATTCAGGAGGGAGTTAAGCCGAATGTTGTCGCCTACAACACTCTCCTGTATGGTCTGTGTTCGAATGGGAACGTGGCTAAGGCTATATCGATTTGTAATCGGATGGAGAATGATTTTTGCCAGCCTAATGTGACCACGTTTAGCACTCTTATTTTCGGGTTTACCAAATGTGGGAATTTGCAGGGCGCTTCTGAAATATGGAACAAGATGATCAATTGTGGTTGCCATCCTAATGTTGTGGTATTCACCTCCATGGTGGATGTCCTTTGTCAGAATTCTATGTTTAACCAAGCTTATCAACTTATCGACAAAATGGTTACAGATGGTTATCCTCCAACTGTTGTTACATTCAACACATTCATCAAGGGATTGTGTCGTGGTGGAAGAGTGCAGTGGGCAATGCATGTGCTTGATGAGATGGAGAAATATGGATGTTCGCCTGATATCAGAACATATAATGAGTTGTTGGATGGTCTGTTTCAGGTGAACAGATTCGGAGAAGCTTGTGAGCTTATAAGGGAGTTGGAAGAAAGGAAGGTGGAGCTAAATTCTGTCACTTACAACACTATTATGTGTGGTTTTTCTTATCTTGGAATGCAAGAACGCGTTTTGCAACTTTTGTGTAGAATGTTGATAAATGGAGTAAAGCCTGATGACATTACAATTAATACAGTTATTTATGCATACTGTAAGCTGGGTAAGGTAAGAACTGCCATCCAGCTTTTGGATAAACTTACTGCAGAAAAGGAACTGTGTCCAGACATAATAGCACATACTAGTCTTTTGTGGGGTATCTGTAATTGGTTAGGCATTGAAGAGGCAATCGTGTATCTAAATAAAATGTTAAATAAAGGAATCTTTCCCAATGTTGCCACTTGGAATGTGTTAGTTCGAGGCTTCTTTAACAACTTGGGTCATATGGGACCAATCCGCATTTTGGATGATATCTTGGGAAATGGCTAGTATGCAATTTTCAGCTTCTTCTATGCAAACTAATGGCCTTCAATTGTAGCTATTTGTAACAGCATACAACAGATGACAATGTCACTAAACTCCTAGTTTGGAGCAGAGGCAAGTGAGGGGATTAATGTGGTAGGAAAAAACACTTGGTGAGACATCATTGTTAGGATCCCAGAAACAGGTTGAGTTTCCAATGAGAGAGACAAGAAAAATTATTGTTTTGGAAGCATTTATTAAATTATAAATAAAGAATCCAAGGAGAAGATTCTCCATTCTCCGACGTGTATGGGTCCTCTGCCGTGAACTGCATAATTTCACGGGTTCAGTGATAATTCTAACCGTCTATGATGTTAAAATATTTATATTTGGAGCAATGCTATATAGTATGAAATTGTTTTTCATGATCACAGTACTGTTTTTAAATTTTTATATGGTATTTAAAAATAATATATACTAAAAATGAGATTATTTGAAAAAATTATAGAAATTATGGGTTCAAAAATTGCCTTGGTGCAGATACAGAAATTTAGAGATGGAATAACTGAAAATTATGAAGTACTGAAAATCGTCGTTAATGATTTTTTAAAAAATAGTTTTTAAAAAAAAATCTCCAGTCAATTTAAAAAAAATTAAAAACATGATAATTTTTTTTAAATGATAAAAATTTTGAACTGTTAAAAACTACCAATAACAATTTTTCAGCTCATTTTTTTTTAAATTGTCATATTCTCGTAACTTTTTTTAAAATGTCATATTTTGATATTTAAAGGGATGATTTGTTGTTGTGTAAAATAATGAAAAATATTAATAATATATTTTTTAGTATTATTTAAAACTTATTAAGAATATATAGGTACTAATTTAATTTAATGAGTTTCAATTATAATTTTACAATTTAATAAGTTTTTATTTTTATTCCTTTATTATTTTTATTTTTTAACTTTAAATAGTTAAATTTAGTTTTTTTATCTTTGAAAAATGTTTTAACTAAACTTAGTATTATTTAATTAATAAAATTGTCATTTGATAAATAGATTTTTAAAAAAAAAAAATCAACACTATCATCGCACAAAGACTTGATATTGACATCATATTTAGTTAGCAATATGTACGTATGAACATATAACAAAAAAAATAATAAGAAGAACGTATTAATTGCAGGTGTCGTAGATTATTAAGAGTGAGAGACACGGGTTCAATTTTATTTTATTTTTCACAACTAGAGAATATTTTAGAGAGGGAAAGGATTAAAGATAGATTATATATTATTGTGAAAATGATTTGAATCGAATCAATAATGATAGTCCAATTATATCGCGACATCTACATACAATAACAATACTTAACCATTATAACACAATTCAAATTTCGAAATAATAAAACTGTGGTTTGATATTTATTTTTGATACAAGACACTTGTACATATCTATATCTAGAGACAGTATTTCGCGCCACGCAGGTTTTCTTCCTTTCCTTTCTTTTTCGTCCTCTCTCTCTCTCTCTTCTTTCAGGGCTGGTAAGTTTGAAGCTTTTCTTCACTTTTTAGTTGCTATTTGCTTCTATTTTTTTACATTTGGTTTCCCTTTATTACTATTATTCAGTGATTCAAATAGGTTGATTGTGTTCTTTATCTTCCCATCTTCTCTTCTCTCAGTCTTTGTGCTAACTTTTTAGATTTTTTGGTCTTTTCTCCCTCTTCAGTTCGTAGCAGTATATGTGTGGATTTATTTTGTTGGAAAAAATTCTGACAATGCAATATTCATTCGAATTTGGATTCGCTTGTGTTCTCCAAAAACATGTGTCACCATCTTAGAGGGACCATCTTGGAGGGATAAATACATAATTTTCATTAAATTTAATTAGTGGGTCTTGCAATCAATCCTGGTAGATCATTATTTGATTAAAAAAATGTGTCTTTTTTTTCATCCACTATGATCGTATTACGTTAGTTAATAATACTAGATTATCGAAATTTTATTCATTCCTGGTACTTTTTTTTAATAACATAAATTCCGGAGTTTATTATTAAAAAAAGCCTCTTTCTCTTTTTCCTTTCTTTTCTCTTTGGTTAATAGAGGATTGTTTAACTGGAGGAAGGGTTCACCTTCAAATTTATGGTTGTCAATATCAAATTAAATATCAAGAAATAAAAGATTGAGTGGAAAGGAAGAAAAAATTTGCATTTTGTTATTTATTTAGTGGAAATAAGTTACGTTTATTTATTTGGTTAAATATATTTAGAGGGCATTTGGAAGACCTTATTTGGATCCATGAGAGTACGTTATGATCTTATAAAATTTTTTTAACGGACTTCAGGAAGCTTAATAGTCAAGTTTATGAATTAGTTCTCATTTGATAAAAAGGTTTTTAATAAGTGCTTAATTTAGCTGTTTAGTTAAACATATCCTTAATCTTGTTTTTTTTCAGTTAGAATGAATGAAACTTGATTAATCATTATCCGGTAATGCCAATGTAGGTGCCTTCTGTCAAGTAATTGATGAACTTGTAATGAACCAACCAAATTTTCCTTGACAATTATCCTTCTGTAGAATACAGATGGGAAACAAAAGGATTGTGCTTGAATTTTGTTTGTTTTTTTCTTTAGAACAACTAGCTCACATGTTTAAATGAACCTGTCCTTGTTCATCATTGGATATTTGTTCACTTGGAATTTTTTTTAAAAGCAGTTATTAAGGTGGGAGGCTACTGAGATCACAAGTTTTTTGAGCTTGATGGGGACAGAAAAATCTAATACGTTTGGTACACCTTACAATATGGTGCCTGAAGATGTCAGTAATAATGCCATGGCCATCTTAACCAATTTTCTCTTTCTGCAATTTGCTTATAGCTAATATTCTTGTTGATTTTGCTTTATCTTTCTAGCAGGGAACTCTTGGCGCACCGCAATGGACTACTTCTATGCAGGTGAAAAACATTCTCTGCTTTAACCAATTTGTGTTGGTATCTTGATCATGTATACTTGTGTTTCTCATGAAAACAAAATTGATTCCCTGCTTCTCTTTAAATAGGCATATAACGGGTCAGAGTCTACTCCAATTCCCATTTTAAGTCAACATGGAGCTGGTTCTTACATGTCTCTCTACATGTGGCCATATCAGGTAGTGTAGTGATACATGTAGCTTGCATTTATGACAAAGGGACAAGTTACACTCTTCATTTCCACATTCTTTGTTCTTTGGTCTAGGCAAGCAGCACGCTACTTCAATCTGATGCTTTGCATGATCCCAGCAAGCTGTCCAGTAAACCCACAGTAGCTGGGGTAATCCTAAATATTTCTGTCAATTTATTCATAGTAACTTAAATTATTTTTCCTTCCATAATTTCTGTAAAATTCAAGTTTCCAGTTGGTTTAGGTTTAATAGAATGTTCACTCACATTCTCATAGGATTAAACCTACTTGTTTTGGGTCAGGATGCTGCACTGGCTTTTTCAGAAATGGTATACAATACTTTTGGTGAACAAAATATGAATTCAATGAATGGATGTGCTAGAAACTTACAACCTGAAAGTTTAATTACTGACAAATCAAGAGAAAATGAAAATGAATCTTCAACACCACAAGACAGCAGAGATGTAGTGTCACGGAGGTACATTTTGTTTGTCTAGAGACCATTTTGATCACTTTTGTTCAAACCTAAATAAAAAATTATTTGTGCACAGTGCAACAAATGGAAGCAAGGGATCACAGGACAAAGACCGTGACACAAACAATGTATGTTGATCTTACACACACACATGTTCTCCCACTGCTATGTTTAGAACACTAAAAAAAATACTAATTTTCTAAATCTTAAATTAAAGATGCATTAGTTTATTCATATGTGTAGTTCAAGATGCTTAGAATCTGGCAAAACATGTTAAATGATATCCTTTCTGTTGCAGGATTTTCCTTCAGCTAAGAAGCTGCAATGTAATTTGATGCTTAAAAATGGTATATTCAAGGCCATAGATTTGTCTTTTGCTTATCTGAACAATGAAAATTCATGTTTTATAAACTGAGATCTGAGCAAGATGCACAGAAGGTGAAAACTGTAATGAAGTTCACGTTACTAAAATTCTTTGATCTTACCACTCTGCAGCAAACTCAACGGAACTGAATCATAATTTTGGGACAGGCCTAAATGCATCTGGCACTAATGCTCAACTTGCAAAATTGGTATGGTAAACTTCTATGGTTTTTTATACTATGTTTGGTTAGCTTTTATTGCTAGATTAATTAAAATACAAAAACAATCCACTTTCTAATATAACTTCTAATCCCTTTTAAATTAAGTTGTTGAACAATGCACATATAAAAGGTTTTGTTGATGTAATTGTGCTTTTGTATCTCAAGTTTACGGCTTTTAGTGCTAGTGATTAACTACATATTCAATGTTGAAATCTTGAAATATATCAAGAAAGAAGCTGTAAGAAAGAAAAAATCATATTGATCAGCTCCTCTTCCTTTTATTGTCTCCTCTACATATGCCATTTATAATTAGTATGGAAGAAAATATAACTAGTGTGAGAAAGGGAATTTATTGTTAATTGTCAGTAAACACAAATTATTTTATAAATGAAATGATTTTATATCTTAATGCACCACCTCACAAGACAAGAGTCCTTTCGGCTTGAAGTGTAGACAATTCATAGGTGTGTTTTACCTTGTGTTGAAACACAAATTTATTTAGAAGAATATCATGTGAAGGATCAACTCTCCTAAAAGCTTAAGCTCTTAGGTGAAGATACATGAGTAATTTTATATCTCTAACATTAATATTTAGCTCTGTTTTGGAATCACACACAAGATGCTCCTTAGCCATATTATATGGGTTGAGATTGAACTCATTGATTTTCCATCTTTAACTTTGTTATGTATACTCAATTTAGTTAACAACTACAGTTACGCCATCTATTTACTCCTATCATTAATCTACGTGCCAATAATACTACTATACTTTTTCTTATATTGCAGCTGATCCTGGAAGAAGTAACATCTTCAAATTATTTGAATTTTTTTATGTTTTATTTTGCATTTATTTTGTTCCTTTCCACATTTCATCCTGTCAATTATGAGCCCGTTCTGTGAATGCTATCTACATGTTATGTTAGCATTTTAGCTATAAATATGTACTGCATTGAAAATGATCTGGTCAATACATTTCAGAATGTAAATCCCTCCTTAAGGTTTCTCAGTTTAATTCTTACCCATGTGGCCATGTCTACTATTTCCTGCTGAGGTACCTTTCTTTTGACAGGAAAAGGATGAAATACGCAAAGAAAGGAAAAGACAGTCAAACAGGGAATCAGCTAAGAGATCAAGGATAAGGAAAGAGGTACATACTAGTAAAATAACTGTGCCAAGCTGCAGATTTTGTTGGATCTGATGTAACTATATATCTTCAGAATTACTATGAAAATGTTCTATACATCTCCTGTACTACTAAGTAAATGAATTGTTTTAAAATTTCCATCTTTTCTTTGGGCCTAGTTTTTTTTTTTTTTAATCCTTATTTTAATTTTATATTTATTTAAAAATATACGAAATTTTAGGGTAAATTAAAAATTGAACTTTTATACTTGTCATTGTTTTTCAGTTTAATGCTATATGAAAGAATTTTACATGATTTTTTCAAAAAATCAGTCTCCACCATTTATTGAGATTATAATGGTTTTAGAGTACTTTTCCATAGGGATTATATTGAAAAATGTTGTTAGGTGTGGGTACCAAATGTAGCGATATTTTCATACAGGGACCAAAATGTTTTCTTTTGCATAGGAACTAAAACGAAAAATGTTGTTAGGTATAAAGACTAACATAATACCATTGTAATGGACTCAATTTTTAATTTAACCTAAAAATTATGATGATCTAAATATAATTAAATAATTGAATAACGTATAAATACTACTCCTATTCCTAGTTACTTGTCCAAAGAGAGGAGAGAAAGAGATCCGTTAATGTGTCATTCATTATTGTGGTGTAGAAATGTGACACATTGCTTGTTTGTTTTTTTTTACTAAAAATTACAGAAGATAAATGAATTCTGTTTTCTTCTGCTATTTTTGTGTTCTAGAGCATACGTCAGAAGACATTAGATCTAAGTTTTCTTGTTGATATTAGTCTCACAAAACTTGTCTATACTTCTCATGATGCCGATGATAAGTTGTCACGTATTGAGAATGGATGCATGGTCTAATTTTCAGAAAAGTAAGCTAATAAATTCATGATAAACATACAATACATTGTCAAAATCACTTATCTTGATTTTTGGAACATGGTAATAGGAACTTGGCTCTCTTATCAGCTAAATCATATCTTTGATGAGCACTTGGAAATAGTAAATTTCATGTGATGTTTTCATTACTTGTTTCTTCAGAAGGAATGTGACGAGCTACATAATAACATTAGAATTCTCAAGGATGAAAACTCTTTGCTAACACAAAGGCTGGTGAGTCTTTCTGAAGACTGTATGGAGCTTTGCAACGAGAATGATTTCATAGAGGTCCGTTGTTTAAACTCTACTTTCTATTTATTTAACTATTTACGGTTCATTCAATTGAAGTAAATAGGTTCTACCAAAAGAGAAGGTTGATGTCAACGAATCTTAGTTTTGTTTATCTTGGTTCTCATGTAACCCATTTAATATGGAACTTTATAACTTGTATCTGAGTTCAGTATAATCTCTCTAACCAAAAGCCTCTTGAATATGGTTTTTACTCGGATTTAATCAACAATCACCAACCTAATTTATTATAAGTATGAATAGACAGTCGAAAGTGCCAATAATATCACATTTGGAGTTGGTTTTCTAGATAATAGTTATTTATTCACCAGCTTTGATTTATTTGGAAGTTAATAACGAACATCGAGTTGTTGATGAATTATGTATTTTGGTGCATTTATTTGCAAGATTACTACTAATTTGAGTATCATTTGTTGGGGAACAGGAACAACTGGTTGAGATATATGGACCAGAATCAATAGCCGATTTATTGCCTTTAAAGCCTGCCTCTGTTACTGGTTAAGGGAGGAAGCATCTTACAACTTATCAGAATATATAATTTCATTTTTTTATTTTGTTACAATTATTAAAATAAAAGATGTGGTAATAATAATCATAGATAAAGGTGGAATAAGGTACTGATTATTCCTCAATTAATCACATTTAAATTTCCGATTGAATCAATTATAATTTTTTTATAAATTTACTCAAATGTTCAGCTATGTAACTATGTTATTTAAAATTTTTTATGCTAATATAAGTTTGGACATAAATCCAATTCAAACTTGGATTTTATTGAACAAGACTCGACATCAAGTATAAAACTTGCTTATTACATTGTTTAATAGTAGCTTTTTATAAAATTTGAAACAAACTAATCCTATGGATAATTTAAAAATTATGATATATTAACTTTATAAAATTTCATATAAAATAAATTAATAAGTATTTTATTTGTTACTTTATTTTAATTAATAATATATTTTTAAAATATAATTATCAAATTTAGAATAATATATTTACAAATGTTAAAATTATATAAAATTTAATATACATAATAATAAAATTAATATAAAAAACAGTTGAATTAATAAGTTTATATTTTATAAAAATTATTAAGTGATGTAGTATAATCAAATGCGTGTTATGTCATTAGTTAATAATATATTTATATGGACTAAGTATATTTTGTACTTTCAGATATTATTTGAATAAAATATTATTAATATAAGATTTGTTTGAAAATATATAAACGAGACAGGTTGTTAACTTTTTTCTTTTTAATTTTCTTCCACCTTTTTAACCAAATTCTGCGGACTTAGACGAAAATGGGAAAAATAAAATAAACCATTGCTACATTTATCTTTCAGTCAGTAAAGTTTGGAGGCACATTCTGTCAGCGAAATCATACGTTCACGGCCTCACCCAGCGCTCACATCTTCTCAGCGGAACCCACCACTCTTTCACATCTTGTGTTGGGCAGATGAACGTGAAAATACGAGTTATTTTAGTGATTGAGTCTATATCTCAGAATGTCTATTATTACTTCTCGTTAAAATTTTGTATAAAATATTATTTTTATTTGTTAATTAAATTAAAAATAATGTTTAAATAAAGTTAATTAAAACGCGCTTCTTTATTCCAATCTAATAGTTAGTCATTATGAAACCGAAGTAAAGAAATCAAACTCAAAAAAATGTGTTGAAATCAAGTGAATTAGTCTCACATAGAATGCGATATAGGCAAATTAAGGGTCTATATAGAGATATTGACCTAAGTATTTATTATCTTAAAGTTTGAGAGTTGCATTATGGTGTCTTACTCATTAGAGACTTCTACCTAAACTCTCTCTACCCAGTAAAAAAATTAACAAACTTGCAACTATTCATTTGCAAAAAAATAAAGTATTTTTCTTCTTTGTCATCTATGTTTTGGTGCATATACTTTCACTTGCTTATTCACTTTACGATAAGTTGAACATGAAGGATATGAGTTGCATAGATCTATATCTCCTCATGTTGGAAATCTCTCCTTGAAGAATATTTTAATCTAATTCTTAATATAACAAATGAAATTAAATGTTATAACTAAGAGTAAATGTCAAAATTACTTTAGAAATTGATGAGTTCATGACCTGTGGTTCTTGTCTCTTGTAATAGAAAATCAACTAGAAAATAGAATGTAGAGCGAGAGAGGAACTCATTCTCTCAACATTTCAACTCTAACAAGTGTTTTGTCTTAATGAGGCAACAACCACTTTGAGCTCTTATTATCAAAAAAGAAACTTTCCATTATAAAGTTATCATAATGTCAAAGTCTCAGGGATACTCTTCACAAAATCAAACTCTCAACATGATCTGACCTCCTATATATATAATCATATCATCTCTATTACCTTTCAGATATCTCAAAACAAGTTTTGCAGCCTGCCAATGTACCATACTAGGTTTACTCAAATATCTTTAAAAGTTGGCCAACAACAAAAGCAATATGAAGAGGTGTACATACTTAACTATACATAAGGCTGCCAAAATAATAAGTAATTTTCTTCATATCTACCATTTCACTTTCGAGGTCACTAGACATTAGAAAGCTTCTCACCCTTTTGAATGGGTGAATTACAAGGCTAACAAAATTTTCACCTTAACCTTATTAAGGATTCTATCAATATATCCTCATTGAGACAAACCAAGGATACTGCGAGATTTATCACGATGAATTTCAATGTCTTAAAAAAAAAAAAAAGCATCATCAAGGTCCTACATATCAAAGGAGTTGTAAGCATTTGCTCAGTTTCATTCAAAAAATCACATCATTATTCTCTAAAAGGATGTCATCAATATAAAGAATAAAAACAACAAATTTTTTCTCATTGTTCTTCAGATAAATGCATTGATAAACTACATTTTCCTTAAATCTAAAAGAGCTTGCAATATGATCAAACTTCAAGTACCAATAGAGGCTTGCTTCAAACCATAAATGAATCTTTTCAATTTTTAAACTATGTTCTTTACAACTTTTAAAAAATCATCTTGTTGGTCCATATAGACATTCAAAAAATGTTGTCTTAACATTCATTTTATGAAGTTCTAGATCAAAATGTGCAACCAAACCATCACAATACGAAAAGATTCTTTGGTGTACACAAGAAATAATGTCTCTTTATAGTCTATGGCTTCCCTCTAATTGTAACTTTTAGCAATAAGTCTGCTTTGTATCTCTCTATCTCTCCTCTAGCATCATGTTTGGTCTTAAAGATCCATTTATAACCAACAAATTTGCAACCTTCATAAAACTCTACCAAATCCCATATATTATTCTTTTGCATAGAAGTGTCATTGTGAACTATAAGAATTTGAAATGGATTTATGAAAAGTAACTGAATCAGAATTGTCAACACAAATAAATTCATGTTCCTACAAATAAACAACACAATCCTTGAATCTAGTAGGTCTAATAAATCTAGGAACACGTTCAAATTGCCTTAGTTGAGGCACCACAATATTAGGATTCTGAACATCATAATCAACATTAGCACCAACAATGGGATCAACAGTTTTATCATGAGTGACAACAATTGACATAGACTCAGACAAAGAAGTAATAGATACAGGAGTTGTAGCACCCTTAACTTCACTTTATTATTACTTTTTTCAACTTTATAGATAATAAAAGTGTATTTTTGTGAAAAATTTTCTTTCTTTCTTTTTCTCTCTTTCATTGTTCGTGATTGATATCGTGTTTAATTTATTTTGATTATCAATAAACTTGAAATAAACCCTGAGCTAGACACTAGATTTTAGTGAGAATTAGAAAGTAAATTCATCTTTTGAAATTGTTGAGCTAATGGTTTTGCACATTATTCTATTTAATTGAATTAAGAAGACAAAATTTCTATTTACTTTGCACCATAACTTGACCAACAAATACTTAGGCCATTTTATGCATGATAGTCCAAATTTTTAGTCCTTTTTTGCTGTCTAACTATTTTATAATTCTATACCAATAACCTTGAAACTTTACTATCCGAACATGCCATCAATTTTAATCAAATTGATTAAAGCTAGAAACTCCCTATTGATATGTATATATTAAAACCAATATGCACCCTTTCATGCATCCAAGCCATACAAAATTAATGCCCAAATTTCCAACACTTTTACTCCTAATTGACGTATCACTAGGCTTGTTTAGTGCCCAGCCTTCCAGCCACATCAATTATCTAAATGAATATTAATAAAGTTTGGAAGCCTTCCACATGTTTTGTTTAAGGGGATTGCTACATAGGCATACACCTCCTTCTAATTGATCTTCTCTACGATTAATGTTTTTATGTATTTAGTGTAAAAGGACTGCTTATAGGTTGCTGTCAGATTTAGTGGTTATTTTAATTATATTTTGGGTCATGTTAGTGTCAACTTTTGATGTATTGATGCCTTATGCACATGTTTTATCAGATGTATTTATTTTAGTTTTACTAGTTTGAATTTATTGACACTACACACACACTCAAGCTCAGTGTTATGTCATGTTCTTGGAATACGTTTAATGTCAAGGAAAATATATTCCTAACTGTTTTTGATTTGATGATGAAGATTTTTTATACATGTATTTTACTTTGAAAAAATGACTACATACAATATAAGAGAATGTTTGATGTAGATACAAAAATTTGAACCGTACATTACTTATTTATATGACTACATGCATTCATATGATAAAAGTATATTATAAACTTTAACTCTCTCATATATGAATACATTCCATAAATTTTGTGTGCTTATTATTAGATGTCAGTCAGGTTCAGTGTTAAGGTGTGACAAAAACTAAGCCAACTTCACCTGGTTGACTATCCTCTCCTCCAAAATGGCTTTTTCCTTAGGGTTTTGCATTTGATAGCAAGCCTCCTCCTTCCATACGTCGTGTCACCTTATTGATAGCTCTTTTCATGTACTATTAGATTCTCTCTTTCTAAAGTACAATTAGGGTTTACCTAGATTGTTATTTTTGCTAACAGTTATGTGATTCTAACAACTTTTCTAAGTAATATTTATATCATATAAAATCATTCTCATTGCATAAACTAAATTTATTCTTAATAATAAAGGTCTTAATGCAAATCTTATACTTACATATCTTATAATTAAATTAAATTAAATTAAATTAATTACTTATTTCATATTTTATGAATAAAATTTATGTAATTGAGCAAAATATGTATTGCAATAAACTTTCATATGACTAAGACATAGATTTAAGATTGGTTTCCAAGCAAATAAAATTTTAGACAATAATACATGATAAGTAATTAGAATAATAATTATAAAATATGTCACTATATCATTATCCATTCACAACAATGAACAACTACTAATTCACTTTCCAAAATAATTTCAAAGCTACAAGAAAGTTAATGACTAATAAATTTTGGCATAATCAACATCCAACAAAGCTTTTTGAAATTATTTTGATTTAGATTTATACTCAAAATTTTAAAATATACCTTCTTTATGAATAAAACATGCCAAGAACTAATGTTTCTTATATCTTAGAGTTGTAAGTATACCTTAGGAACATATCGTCAACAACACTGCAACTAGTTAGTTTCAAACAATAATCATTTAAGAAACAAAAGATAGAAATTACTTTTGTACATATATACATAAATATATAGGAAATTGAATAAAAAATTAGTGTGTTAAA